CCACTTACACCCATCTCACCTCCCCTCCCTCTAACCACTTTAAATATTATAAATTTAAAAATGTAACACTTTTTAAAAGTTTGTATCGTGAAAGCGAGACGTGGCCAGCAAAGCAAAGGTAGCGGCTCGACGCTACTCACCCCTCTTTTGCCTACACAAGAGGAACGTGAGTCCAGTAGCTCCACCCACGTTCTTCATTTCCAGTTTTCTAGTTTTACTTTCCCACCACCCACTCCATTGTGTATCATTGATGAACGAGAACGTTGTAATTACCCACTTGGAATGAAGCACGCTGCCTTTGCAAGATGGATTAAGCAAGCTTTCACAATTCCCAGTTCACCTCCTCTTTTCCCAACTCACCTTCTCTCCCCATACCACTAACTCCCATCTAACAACCTTTCCCCCTACCCCTTACACCCTTCTCACATCCTCTCCCCCTTACCACTTACTCCCATCCCACGTGCCGCCCCCCTTACGTCAAAAACTTCCCCACCTCCACCTGCCTTGCTCTTCACATAGGAACCTCTTCTGCTCCCTCATGCTTACTTCCCTTCCTGACATTTCCTTTCGGTTACCCTCCTTCCTCTCACACCCCTCATCAGCCCACCTACTCTCTGTCTTAGGCTCTCCTGCTTACTGGTCTCTTACTGATGCTTTTGTGTCATTCTCTCTTGATAAGCTCGCTGCTCCTTCACATCATCCTATTCCTCTCCTTTCCGCATCTAGTGCTTGCCATATCTTTCTCTTCACACTACTTGCCTAATTGGAAGCAAGATTTCTCGTGTTAGCAAGGAAAACATACGAGCAATGACGATTACAAACCAAGAATCTTCGTGCTTGTCCCATCTTTCCCTAGCCAGTCCGCTATTTGCTATGGCTACCTACGAGCAGGCTTGCATCCAGACTGCTACTTGCCCTCTTGCACCCCCTCTGGCTACTTAGCCTCTAGCTGCCACTGTGCAGTTCCCGCTGGCTCTTTGGCGCAATCTGCACAAACGGGGAAACAAACATGCATGCACACGTACACTCATCCTGGCATTGGTGTGACACACCCCCCCCCCATTGCCGCTGCCATGCGCTGTAATGCCTTCCTATTACCTAGCCACGCTTACCTAAGTGCCGCTCCCACGGCCTCCCATGCAACTCCTCACCCCTCGCTTCGGCAGACGCCAATCCTCTCTTTACCTTTCTCCTCTTGAACCGTTGGCACCCCCTCCACATCACACGCTCGCTTCACTATGTACAATATGTACATTAGATACACCCCCCTACGTTCTTCCCACCATCACATTCACATAAATGTGACTGCTGCCGGAAACTTCCCCACCTCCACCTGCCTTGCTTTTCACACAAATGTCTCTTCTGCTCCCTCATGCTTACTTCCCTTCCTGAACTCTCCTTGCGGTTGCCCTCCTTTCCTCTCACACCCCTCAGCAGCCCACCTTCTCTCTGTCTCAAGCTCTCCTGCTTACTTATCTCTTACTAATGCTTCTGTGTCATCCTCTTTTGCCCCCTCCCATGACCAGCTGTTGCCGCCCTTGCTCCGGTCATGGGACCCTTGTACTCCCTGGGCTTGATGTGCTTCCTCGCCTTTGCTTCACTGGTCACGTGGTGTCGGAATCCTTCTGCCCAGTCCTTGCCGGCCCCTGAAACTGTGCTTCTTATCCCACTCTTGCCTCTTGGCCGCTCTCTTCTCTCCCGATGTTCTCAGCCTGGCTTCAACAGGGCCCTCGGTTCTCGATTGCTCTCTCCTCTGCGTCCAGCCTCTTGCCGCACTATGAAAAGTCTCCTGCCTCTAGCGGGAGCTGGTCCTCAAACCTTAGCTCGGCTGGCAGAGAGATTGAATGGCCACGAATGGATGCTTGCGCGGGTTGGTTTCTCGTGCTTAGTCTCGCCTGTAAAGATTGGAAGTTATGAGCGTAAATGTGAAAACAATCACGCAAGCATCTCCCTAAGCTTGCCTACTTTCTTAAGTACCAGCGGCGGGTTACCGTTGTGCTAACGGTCCCCGTTCGCCCGCCGATTCCTACTTTTCGGTTGGTTCGTTTCGGCTTCCAACCGGTCCGGCCGTTATCCTTCCTACTGTAGTCTTCATTTATCCTATCAGTCGCGAATATATATCTAATGCACCTACGCACAGATTAGAATCGTGATAGCTGTCGAAATCCTTCTGCCCAGTCCTTGCCGGCCCCTGAAATTGTGCTTCTTTTCCCACTCTTGCCTCTTGGCCGCTTTCTTCTCTCCCGATGTTCTCAGCCTGGCTTCAGCAGGGCCCTCAGTTCTCTGTTGCTCTCTCCTCTATGTCCAGCCTCTTGCTGCACTTGCCCCCTCCGCGGCTGTACTTGGGCCCCTGCCGACCGCCGCTGGATCTCTCCTGCGTCTGGCTGGGTGCCTTGCCGCCCCGCGGACCCCCTCTTGGCCCGTGCCACATTTGTGCAATGCTCCGTCCTCCTCTGCCCTTGCTCGCTCACGAGCACCACCACTCCTGAATCTTTCACCTCTTTAACTCTCTAGCGTTTCGTGCTCAGCCTGATATCCATCAGGTCATGTTTGGCCTGCTTCAGGTATACTTCCTCCCCTGCGCCCAGAGCCCTGTCTTTCTTCCCCGCTTGAAGTTCCCCCCTCTTCTTGTACCGCTGCGCGTCTCTCAGCTGCGCCACATGTAGGTTTTCCAGTGCTGCCGGTAATAACTCTCTCAGGTACCGCGCTCTTGCCTCCGCCAGCCCCACCCAGTCTGCTTCATTATCCACCTGCACCGACCCCGTGAGTATCCTAGGCGCGTCCACGGGTAGCACTGGTTCTCGCCCCAGGAGGAGATTGTATGGCAATAGGTCTCTTAGTGCCGATTGTTTGCTGAATCTGTATTCGGCTACCACCCAAGGTAGCCGCGCGTCCCAATTTCTCTTAAATCGTTCCCCATAAGCTCGCAACCCTCATTTGACCGTCTGTACAAATCGTTCCGTGAGTCCGTCACTCTGCGGGTGATAGCGGGAGGTCCTCCTATGTGTGATGCCGGTAGCCTGCAGTAGCTTATCGAACTCTCCCAGGAACTCGGTCCCCTGGTCAGTGAGTACTTCCCCACACGCCCCGAACCTGGTCAGCACTTGTTCCTCGAATGCCTCGGCTATTCTGGCGGAGTTCTTGCTGGGGAGGTCCCTCACTTCGACCCACGTGCAGCCGTGCTCTATCATGATCAGTATGTATCGTTTCCCTCTTCTGCTCAGCGGCATTTTCTCCCGCCAGGTCCAAGGACCACCTAAACCCGATTCCATGGATGGGTAGCGATTGCAGCTCCTTCCGGCCCCGCTCCAGCTCGGCTTTGTTCCTACTGCATAGTTCACACCCATCCACCCATTCTCTGATATCCTTCCGCATCCCTTCCCACCACCAGCCAGTCTCCACCAGCTGCGCAGTGCGCAGTCTCCCATAGTGTCCCAGTTGCCTATGCACGCCGCGGATGATCTGTTCATTTTCGTGTGGCTGCGGAACTAGCTTCCAACCGTCCCGAGTGTTCTTCTGCAGCTGCTCTTGATGCCATCGGTAATGGGCTCCTCTGGCTCTGGCTCTCTCCTAACTGGAGTCTCTTACGCGGTATTTCCTTGCACCCAGTCCAGGACTTCCCTGTCCTCCCACACGTCAGCCGGGCCCTTCCCTTTTCCTCGACTAGCTCCCTCTGCATCGATCTCTCTCGCCAGTGCCACTAGGCAGGCCGTAGGGCGGTGAGTCAGAGGGTTTCGCGACAGCCCGTCTACGTGCTGCATGGTTTTGCCCGCTCTGTGTCGAATGGAAAAGTCATACTCTTGCAGTCGCATGGCCCAGCGGACATTTCTCCCGGTCAACGCCTGGTTGGTCATCAGCCAGGTCAGCGGTTGGTGATCTGTCACTAGCTCAAACGGTCTCCCCTACAGGTACACTCGGAAGTGGGTGATTGCCCACACTTTCGCCAGCCCCTCGCCCTCGTAAGAGCTGTAGTTGGCCTCCGCGGGATTGCAGCTCCGACTGGCGAAGGCTACGACCTTCTCTTCGCCCTCCCTCTTCTGACACAGGATCGCCCCCATTCCCGCACTACTCCAGTCAGTATACAGCACAAACGGGTCTTCTTTACTGGGCAGCGTCAGCACGGAAGCCGTTTTCACGGCTTTCAGCAGTGCCTGCAGTGCCCCCTACTCTGCCTCCCCCCATTCCCATTTCTGGTCTTCCCTCAGGAGTCGATTCAAAGCTGCTGCGGTCTTGCTGAAGTTCGATATGCACTTCCGGTAGTAGTTGAGGAACCCGAGCACTGCCCTCAGCGTGCTCCTATCTTTCGGCTGTGGGACTCTGTCCAATACCTCCACCTTCGCTTGCTGAATCCCCAGCTGCCCCCCTTGGACCTCGAACCCCAAGTGCTTCACCCCTGTATTCCCGAAACTGCACTTCTTCAGGTGACAAGTAAGCCCGGCCTCCCGAATAGCGTCCAGCGTAGCTTTCACGTCCTTCACGTGCTGCTCTGCATCAGGGCTGAAGACCACTACATCGTCGATGTAGCAGGCCGCCGCCGGCACCCCACTCAGTATCGTGTCCATGATACGCTGGAACAAGGCTGGCGCATTCTTCATTCCCAATGGCATAAATCGCCATCCATACAAGCAGTCCGGCCCGTGAAACGCCGTCTTCTTGCGGTCTGCCGGTCTGATTGGGATCTGATTGAATCCCTGCCGCAGGACCTAAGGTGGAGAATACCTTTGCCCCTTGCGGCTTATCAAAAATCTCCTCTGCAGACTGCATGGGATACCGATCTGCCACTGTAACTTTGTTCAAGCTCTGGTAATCCCCACACATCCTCCGCGCGGAGACGGCTCCAGTCAGGTCCTTCCGGGAGGCTACGACCGTCGCTGCAGCGTAGTCACTCTCCGACCGTTGAATCAACCCCGCTTCCAGCAGCTCGTTGCATTTCTCGGTACAAATGTCTATGTCTCCCGGGCTCATCCGCCGCTTCCTTTGTTATATCGGGACTTCACTGT